ATCAGCAGAAACAGGGTCAGTACTGGGCCAGAACGGGTCTAGCCTTTGCTAGCAAGATTTCCACGTGACTTTTAATCATACTCACTCACAAGACTTACTGGTTTGATGCTGATTTTGAATTATTTCCACAGAAAACACACAGACAAATGTGCTTAGTACTGACCGTAACAAGCAAAGGAATTGAAGATCGGATTTATATTTGTTTTGCGGAGATACATTTATGTGGCCCAGTGTATATGGACCAGTTTGAACAAATCAGGTCAGTAAAGACACATGAAGTAACCCAGTATGAACTGGCTATTACACTGTAAAAATAAATGTGCTTTATCTAATCAATAAAATTGTGGCAACAGATTACAAGCAATATTATTAATTAAATTGAACTAATTAGAATTCTATTCTTATTATATTCAAGAATAGAATTGAGTAATAATTAATCAAATTATTCATTAAAAGTTAACCATTTAAAATGAGTAAAGTTTACACCAAAAAATGAAACAAAAATATCTGAATAACAGACAGACATGGAAGATTAATTATTTTATATTATCTTTATTTTATATTGCAAACATTGAAGACATCTGATGTTAACAAGCAGAATCACTGAAGGAGAAAACCGTATTTTTAAAACAAACCTAAAGCAAACACTGATCACCACAATGGTGACTTAAATATACTTTTTTGTACGTTTTACGTTACCTTTTAAGGAATTAATTTGATTAATTATAACTCAATTCTATTCTTAAATTTAATTAATAATATTGCTTGTAATCTGTTGCCACAACTATTTTGATTAGATAAAGCGCATTAATTTTTACAGTTGTGATTATAGGCTGATTGTCCAAGTTGAAGGGTGATTTTTTTTGCACACACAAAAAAAGTTATCATAATAGTCCATGACTCATACACTATATTTCATGTGTTCTGAATCTGAAGACATGCTATAGCTTTGTATGAGCAAATTTAACGGCGTTCACGTCAGCAACAGATCAGAGCTGCATTTTATTTATCGTCAGCTTTAAAATCAAGGGGAGAAATAGGCAAGAAAAATCCATCTCGAATGCGTTTCGGAGGGCATATCAGATATCCGATCAGTGAAAATGCATGAAGTGACCAGGTATAAACAGGCCCAAAGAAAATAATACAGGGCCAGAAAAACATGAAGGGGAGTAAAGGTGAATTTTAATTTGAACTATCTTTAGAGCTGGCATAGGGGTGTGCGATATGACGATTTTTAATCGTGGACGATTAAAATGTCTCCACGATCTGCTTTTGAAGAAATATCGTAGTATCGTGTTACAGTGCATTCTATCAGTTCAGTTCTGGCGCCTCCGTCTCTAAACTGTACAACGCGACGTAGCCTACACATGATCACACGTTAATCAATAGGTACGGTACACTGCAATTCAAAAAAGTTCATTATTTGCATAAGCCTTGCCGGTTAAACATTTAATTCATGTGATGATGCGCTGTTCTAACATGCGCTTTCCTGACCGCATATCCCCGACGCTCACAGGCACTAGAAGCCTGTCAAACAGCGCCTGAATACTGGACTAAGTTATCTCTCGAGTCTTATTATGCTAATACTGTTAAATACACACAATGTTTACATAAACAGGCTATGTCTAAAGTGAAAGCAAACATTTGAGAGAATATCTGGTGTAATATGCGTCTATATTAAACGCGTCGCGTGCTGGTCTAAAAGCGACAGGAATAAATATTACTGCCGCTTGTCCTTAAAGGGATAGTTCACAAAAAAAAAAAAAAAATCCGTCATTATTTACTCACTCTAATGTTGTTCCAAACCTGTATTAATTTACTTCTTGTGCTGAACACAAAAGACAATTTTTTTTAATGTGGGTAACCAAACAGTTGCTGGTCCCCATTAACTTCCAGGAGAGAACCTATAAAAAAAAACTATAAGGGGACCAGCAACTGTTCGGTTACCCACATTATTTAAAATAACTTTTATTTTCAACAGAAGAAAGAAACTTATTCGGGTTTAAAAGTAAGTAAATTAAGACAATTTTCCTTTTTGAGGGAACTATCCCTTTAGTGTTAATAACACACAAAAAAACACAAGGAGAAAATCACTCACTGACTGAGAACTTTAATAGTAGTTTTAATAAGAATCAATTTATTCAGTGAAGTCTATGTAGTGTTTTAATTTCATATTTGTTCATTTTAATTACTTCAATGCTACTGCTAAATACACCTACTGCATCTGAAAAAATAAAGCACTATTTATTTAATATGAATATTAATTTGTGTAATGTTTATCTTGTCTTATTTTTTTAATAACAAAGAAAATAATGACAAAGATTTTTATCTTCGCCACTGGCCTAAATGTATGCCTTTCTTTTTTATTTTGTTACCTAAGGCTTTGTTTTTAACATAGGGACATTAGTTTGGCTGTAATGAACAGCCACTTGCAAAATATTAAAACCAACTTGAAAAAGAATCGTGATAAAAAATCGTGATCGTGATTTTCCTAAAAAAATCGTGATATGATATTTTTTCCATATCGCCCACCCCTAAGCTGGCAGTATTTTCTCTTCATTAGAAACCTGCATTGGAAAGGGGTGGAAATGAGCAGATTAATTGCCGGTGCTGGGCAACCCTGTTGCTTTTGGTATCCCAAAATACACCATTCAGACAATGCATGGACAGTATAGTGGGGCATATTCACAATGGTGCTTGCAAAAGTCCAATTTGTGCAGGGCGACATTAGCCTTTCACCACTGATTTCTTGGAAAATTCAACAACACAACAGTATAACGGCTGCCAGTTAGTTTCAAAGTGGGGCATTTGGCTCAGTTTAGACATCAGTAATTTGAAAATTCTTTATTTTATTAGAAATCTAGGTCACATATTTCAGTTGTATGTCAAAGGTTTGGAAGCGCTCATCCTGGCCTCTAGAGCAAAAGAGACGACCTCTGATGATACCCGAATGAGATCTGACTAATGATGTTATCAAGGCAAAAGGCAGCATTGTGCAAGATACATTATAGGACTATGTTCTTACAGCCATACTCAGAAAGGACTAGTTGTCCCTGAGAAAGTTTCAGTTTCAAAGAAATGCATTTTTTTCCTCGTACAATCTTGTAAAAAAAAAAAAAAAAAAAAAAAAGGAGGGATGAAACTAATATTTTCTGGCTAACACAATCTGTTTAGTGTTCCATGTTGTCGAAAACCCTGGGGAAAAAAAATGATTTAAAAAAATAATTGCTTCTCTGGGGACCACTGGATTAAAAAAAAGACAGAGAGAGAGAGAGGCTGATATGAATAAAACGAGAAAGAATGGAAAACACGTCACAGTGTCAACAGTTTAAAGGGATAGTTCACTTTGAAATTAATTGTTGTCTTAGCTTACCTCAAGGGCATCCAAGATGTAGGTGTCTTTGTTTCCAATCCACAGTATTTTCAATATTGATATTTTTAGGTCAAATCATTGTTGTCTGTCAGTCATATAATGGAAGTCTATGGTCACCACCTCAAAGAGCATGCACAGAGAAGTCAAAATTAAACATGATTTAATGACTCGTAAATGTAAGTACACACTGATGGCCTAAGACACGAAACGAGCGGTTTGTGTGAGAAAATGAACAGTATTTATATCGTTTATTTTTAACGAACATTATTTATATCGGTCTGTGCATGCGCTGGAAGTGATCTCTTGCGCGTGTACGTCACTCATTGTTTACACAGAGATTTCGGAAGTTTTACCTTTCACTGTGAAGATCTAAACATATTTAGATTAGATATTTTGAAATCGTCTTCCACTGCGATTTCCTGTATATCTAAATATGTTTAGATCTTCATGTGTACTTACATTTACGAGTCATTAAATCATGTTTAATTTGGACTTCCCTGTGCATGCTTTTTTAGGAGATCCCCATAGACATCCATTATATGACTGATAGACAACAACGGTTTGACCTAAAAATATCAAAATTGAAAACCAGACACCTACATCTTGGATGCTCTTGAGGTAAGCTAAAACATATCAAAAATTAATTTCAAAGTGAACTATCCCTTTAACAGGTGCTTTGTTTGCTTACTGAGGAGATCTGTGGACCCGTGCTCAACTGAATTTCAACACTGGTCATCCCATTTCCCTTCAGTTTCAAAAACAATGTTATGTATCTCCAATTGCTACTAAAACAGGTATAAAGAAGCAGACCTCAAAAGTCTAAGGCTAAAAAAGTCTAAGTCTAAGGCTGTCGCTGCTTACTGATCTGCTTACTGATTAACCATAACAATAAAAGCATGGCTAAAGCACCATCTAACCTAAGTAAATATAAGTTCCCACAGATTTTTACAATGAATTTCCATGTTTACAAGTTGTTTGTGACTGCCAGATAACATAACTAGAAGAATTTGGGCCTGCAGTGACTACAGAAACGTCCATTATTTTTCCAGCCACATTCCCATTGGCAGCAACCTGCAGCATTGAAAGAACTGAACCCAGAACACACACACACACTATACTTGTGTATTCCTTCTAAGATAATAAGAACAGTAGAGTGCTAAAGAATAAAATATTATTTATTTATTTATTTATTTATTTAGGCATTTGCCCATGTTTTAAAAGTTTATGTTATCAATTTCTGTCCAGAAATGTCCACTACTTTTTTAATATTGCATTAATTCCCATGACTTTCCCAGAGAAATCTAAATTTTGACAATGTCTGACAATAACCATGTTTTCCATGACTATGTGGGAACCCTGATATCAACTAGATCAAGCCAAGATCAAGTATGAGCAGATGCAGTTCACCAGAAGCAGTTCAGACAGAAGTTGGTGATCTAACAAAGGGGCTGTATAAACAATCAAACAAGATGGTGGAGAAAAGGGTGCCACAACAAAGACCCTGCACTGATTTTTGACTCAGTGTTGATTCCCCCAAGTCCTGACACATGGAGAAAAGAGGAGACATCAAAGTGCAACATCATCCGCACTTGCATGCGTACATTTTGCACAAAGTCTTGAGACTCACCACTGTGTCCTGACTCCTGGTTGGTCATGGTGGGCTCCAGGTCCACTTTGTTCTCGCATCGTCCTTGTCCCTGTATCAGCTGTTCCAGTGGTAACTCTGAATTCGCGCTCGGGTAACACCTCAAACCGCTCCCGCATCTCGGCGTATAGACGCCGCACAACTCGCCCTTCTGACGTGCGCAAACCGGACAGCAACCGCAACCCGGTTCCCTGACAATCTCGCAAGAGGTGGTGATTTTGGGACACGCCGCCTGGCGCTCCGCGGTGCAGCTCGGGCAGCGGAACACGATCTCCCCGACCGAGCCGTGCAGGAGCAACAAACTGCAGAGCAATGCACAAAACATGGCGTTATCTTTAAAACTGACAGATGTCGAGATTCTGCAGGCGACTTCAGGTGGAAAAGTAAAAGTGCGTTTGGGGACAGGTGAGGTTCGCCGGAGAACTCTGCTGGGTCCTATTTGCTGTCATGTTACTCCGACATGACATCACGTCAAAACCTAGTCAAAGTCAAATAAGAGTCGAAATAGTCGGACTGCAGGGCGTGCAGGCTGTTTCATCTGCGAAAGATACGCTGTTTTGGATGAATGTTTGTTATGATTGATCCTATTGTCATACGTGTTTCTTAAGTTGAAATGACCAGTAACCATATCTGGGCTAGCCAAAACAACAGCATTCGCCTTCTGTTTATTGTTCTAACAACAGTGTGCGATTACATCGATTTGATTGGAAGGGCATTTTATGGAAGCTTGTTTCCTCCACTGAATAAAAAATAAAAGAGGTAGCCTAATTGTGACTTTTTATCTCATAGTTCTGACCTTTTTTTTCTCGCAATTTCAAGTTTATATCTCGCAATTCGGACTTTTTTCTCAGAATCGTAATTATAAAGTCAGAATTGCAAGTTATAAAGTCAGTTGCAAGAAATAAGCTCGCAATTACAAGTTATAGTTCCAAGATATATAAACTGACAAGAACTGACCTTTTTTTTTTTTTTTTTTTACAATTGCGAGATAAAAACTTATGGAAGTTTGTTTCCGCCACTGAATAAAATAATAATAATAATAATAATAATTGCAACTTTTTATCTCACAATTGGGAGATATGAAGTCTGAATTGTGAGAAATAAAGTCGCAATTGGGAGATATAAACTCGCAATTCTGAGAAATAAAGTCGCAATTATGAAAATAAAAGACAGAATTGACACTTTTTATCTCACAATTCTGACTTTTTTTCTCGCAAATCTGTCTTTATAACACATAAAGTAATTGCGAGTTTATATCTCGAAATTCTGACATCTTTCTCAGAATTGTGAGATATAAAATCGCAATTGTTAGTTTTCAGGCCAATTCTAAGGGGAAAAAGAAAAGACTAACTTTTTTTCTTTTCAGAATAGTTTATGTCTCACAATTATGACATTACAACATGCAATTTTGACTTTAGGCTATATCACGCAATTTCGACTTTATATCACGCAATTCTAACTTTACATCTCGCAATTCTGAGAAATAAAGCCAGAATTGCGAGATGTAAACTCGCAATTGTGAGAAAAAAAAGTCAGAATTGCGAGATAAATAGTCACAATTACCTTTTTTAATTTTCATTAAGTGGCGGAAAAAGCTGCCATATAAACTTGCAATTGCAAGTTATATAAAGTCAGAATTTTAAAATATAGGCCTAATCTCACAATTCTGACTTTTTTCTCGCAATTCTGAGTAGCTATCTTGCAATTCTCACTTTTTTTCTCAGAATTGAGTTATAAACTCGTAATTGCTAGTTATAAAGTCCAGTTCTGAGCTGGGAAAAAATACTTTATTCTCAGAATTGTGAGATACAAACAAAAATTACATTTCATTTTCTGTGGCGGAAACGAGCTTCCATAATTTGATTTATACATTTACTTGATTTGAAGAAAATTTTATGGAAGCTTGTTTCCATAAAGCTTGTAACGCAAACCACTCGAGCGGCCTACTGGTGCACACAAATTTATTGACGTGATATATGTGACGTTTTGTGGTTTCTAAAACTGTGCTTGAAATCCATTCAAACTTATATTAGCTACTTATACATAACAAGATTAACTACTTTTTAGGAACTTTTTTAAGGGTAGGCTACAAGCCTCAAAGCAAATTAAGAAAACTCTCCTATTTTCATTAACTTTCCGTAACTCTCCCATAACAGTTTCTTTGGTATGTTGACGAAATCTGAATAGTCTCTAAGTCCACCTGTTTTATGTCCCCTTGTACCGGGTCTCTTTGGAAATAAACTTGTATTCGAGAAGGCTATTTGTTCAATTTTTATTTATTTTTTTGATGGTGGTGGTGGTTGCTTGTATAAGAAATTCAAAAAATGCTTATTTTTTTCTTGTTGATCAGATTATTTCAGGTACACCACCCCTTTCAATTAGTTCAAAACTTCATTGGGTTCGAACGCAATCGTATTGAATGAGATGTTTACACAAAGGCTTTTACAGTCTGATTGAGCCATCAATCCGATTATAAATGGATTATTTGGTTGCATGTAAATGTAGCTACTGTGGAACAGGTTATGCACCAAAGTTTAATACTTAAAGTTAGGCGTTTGTTCAAGTTTCCTTCAAAATTAACCCTGTGCAGTAGCAGCTTGCATTAGCATTGGCCTACCAATAATTAATTTTTAATAATATTTCAGCTCCTTTGCTGATGTGTTCCTTGTTAATTAGTTTTGGCTGCCAGGACTGTTATATTTCTGGACTTGGCAGAAAAGGCTGGGCTTGACAATAACAGCTGTACTTAATTTATTATTTAGTTTATTTCTTTCTGTTTCCAAAGCACGTATCTCTCTGTATGTGAGTCAGGAGCTGTACAGCTAAACAGGCTTCTGTTACCCCACGTGTCTGTCTCTCATGGTTGCTGTAGAGACTGAATGTTGTTGATCACTGTTGATTTATGAGCCCAGAAACAGCCGCTGACTGAGTAACTCTAGCCTGTAGTAACAAGCTGTCAGGCATAAGGATTCTTTGTTTAATGGATTGTCTATGATTCTATGGCTTATTCATGCCTGTGCGTCCCCGTGGCTTATGAAATAGACTTTGGAGACTTAAGGCTGAAGTCTCGATTAGCCCTGAATATACAAATCACTGCATATCATCAGGAAAAAAAACATATGCAGTCAAATTTGCTTAACAAACCATTTGTCAGATATAGTTTTTAGTTTGCTTTCTGATGGGAAAGAATAGTTGATTGATTACGCCAATTATTTTTTTGACTAGTTAGTTCTATTAAGGGAATAGTTCACACAAAACTGAAATGTATCTAATATTTATCTATCACATGAAATAAAAAACATATTTTCTAAGCGTGTGTTATAGATTGCATTGTAAATAATGAATATGTTTAATTTTTTTAAATATTTTTAAACCAAAATGTCATACCTGGACCTTCCTGCAAACTTCTCTCTAATGATGTATGAAGTACTTCTCCAATCATTTAGTCCACTTAAACCTGAAAGCTGTTCATCTGCCCACACTTTTGAGTGCCACGCCCACATCTCATCATCCAATCAAAAACTGATTCATTGAACCAAATCCCTGCCCTATTTTTTTCTTTTTCAATGATCTATTACACTCAGAAGAGATTTGTCAGTACTTCGGTTTCATCGCAACTTTAACATCGTATAACTTCAGAACATTCCGAATATAGTGCAGTTGTTGTATGGACTACTTTAAAAAAAAATCAAATTGTTTGTTTTGGAGTTTGTATGAAAGAGAGCTATTACAAATCTTCAAAACTTCTCCTTGGAAAATAAAAAGCAACAAAACAGTTTAGACTATAGTAACTAAATAATGGGAACATTTTTATTTTCAGGAGAACTACAGTATTCCTTTTTAGGAGAAGAGAAGATGCGAGATTGAAATGGAGGGAGGGAAAGAGATGTCTCTTATTTTAGAAAAGCAAATAAATGGCATGAACCTGAGCAGCTGCGGTATTACACAATGTCTTTCCAAGGTCACCAACTGGAATATCAAAGAATTCCCACTGAGCAGCCAACGGACCTGGTCTACGTATAAACATCCTCAAGAGTCCGTGTTCCTGTGCCACACTAAATATGACATTTCTTCTCACCAAAAATAAATCTGTGTGTGTGGGAAAGTCTTAAGTGAAGTTTTCCATAATTAGACATTTCCTCAACCAAACATTAGGCACAGAGATCCATGAAGACAGCTAAGGGTTGAGCAAAACTGGCATCTAGGTGAAGGGACACCTGTTTCATGCTACCAATACACGAGGCAAGAGAGCATCAGGAAAAAATGCCTTTTACACTTTTCCACTGTTAACAAGCTTCCTGCATATGACCCATGGGTAAATTCTGGGATTTCCAGGCGGATGTTGTACAACTTAGCAAAGGATGAAGTCTGAGCCACCTTGGATTGGTCTGTGAGGTAATGTCTGACAAGTTGGTCCCTCAACACCATCTCTGAACTTCCTTTCTCTTAACACACCAGAATCTGGCAAGGCTTTTTCCACAAGGAAGTGTATACGGAATCTATGGTGAATAGGCATTACAGATTTTATTTCTCGCCACCGTTAGGTCCAGCTCTTCATGTCATGTTTTATTGCAGCTTGGGTTAGTTATTATTAGGCCCAGACGACTTTTATTCCGATTTTCAGTGTTGATTTTAAGGGACCATGCAGCGCAGTTCTCCAAAAATGGTTTTAACGCTGTCAAATGTGTTAAACGGATCTTAAAGTACTACTCTCTTTAGATTCTGTATTATCCAGCCAGGATACAGTATATTCCATGAGTAAAACAATAAATAATAGTGCCTGTGTCCTCATTTTTTGTTCTATTTAAGGAGACCTCCACAACTAAACTTGCAGATTTAATTTTACACTTCATTTGTCCTCTGCAACTTTCCTCCCAGATCATGATATGTGGACATCATTCTCTCTCCGCATTCTCCATGTTTCATTAATTATCCGGCCCCCACCGCACAGTAATTTGTTTGGCACTGGTGAACTGCGGCCAGTCAACTGAAAGGGTTGAACCCTCGGCATTGCCAAGATACACAGTCTCTTCTTTGTGTCCAGATATAAATAATTGCGTTGAGTGTGGAGAACTGCCTGGACATCTTCCCTTAAGGTTTCGAGGAAGAGTGGCAGCAAAGACCAATGAGATTTGTCTGGCTCATTGAAGGACTGGAGTCTGAGTGCCACCTGGAGGATTAAGCCAGGGAAGATCCAATCCAGGTTTAGAAGGTTTTGGATTTGTTCAACCAAAAAAAGAAAGAAAAGAAAATTCCGACATTCTGACGTAGAACCCGGAAGTGCTGCACTGTATACACTACGTCAACAGCGTAGGAGAATGACGTGGAAGAGAAGAGATTGTTGAATAATGCACACAAAACGTATTCTTGTTGCTTCATAATATTAAGGTTGAACTACTGTAGTTAAATGGACTATTTTAACAATGTGTTTACTACCTTTCTTGGCCTTGAAAGTAGGGTTGGGTATCGAGAATCGAGTATCGATTGGAACCGGGACTAACTTTTCGTTTTTCCCGGAATCGTTCAAAAGTTAAAATTTCAATTCCTAGTTTCGACATTCACAGTCCGCCGAGCGGAA